ACCCGATGAAATTTGCCATAATATTATAAAGGCACAACGAGAAAAGGGTGCGTCTGGATCTGCTACTATTGAAGTGATTTTGGACATAGCAAGTACACTGGTTGAGACCGCTAGACATCTCAATACTCCTATCCAACCGAAGGACGAACCAAGCAAAGAACGTAAGATTATTTGTTACTTTTGCAACGAACCTGGTCATATCCGACAGAACTGTCAACAACTTAAATATGAACGTACGTTAGCTATCCTCAGTCCAACATGCAGCTCATCTTCATCATTGAATTGGCGTAACTTCCTCTAAGACTAAAGGATCCAAGAAATCAACGACTTTGCAACAGTGAAAAACTGAAACAAGGGACTGTTTCAACTTCTAGTCGGGGGAAATGTAACGTAAATTTCGGTCTCATTATTCATCACTGGTTACAAACCCGTACAAGGATAAATCCGTTCATTATCAATAATCAATAACCAATTAACCCTTATTTAGGATTACTTCCTTCCGTAACCAATATGATCTTTACTATATTTGGATCATAATCATTAATTACTAATCAACCTAAATCTCTATTACTAACCGACAAAGATGAATAAACCTTTGACTCACGAGACACTCGTGACTCTTGATGATCTTGTATAAAATCAGATCACTTACTAATAGAAGGTTCACTTCTTTAGAATCAACATAACATTCAAGTTAAAACATTCTAATAGATTTCATCTTGTCATCATCTTTTAATCAAGTTAACCCATCCCAATAATCTGTGTAATTCATTACAATCATTTAATCAACAATTGGATAATAAAGTTCATTTATATTAGTTAAAGTTCTTCTAATAACGTTTCTACATTATTTAATTCGTTCATCACTCATTCCGTAACTTTTTCACGTTACACTATGAACCAAATAAATATGAGAATGAATGGTAACAATAGTAAGATAAGAATGATCACCTTTTTCCCTGTGATTGACAGTTTTGACATTCAATAAACAGATGGAACACAATTGGAACTAATAACTAAGTTACTCAATTGTTTCGACAAATTAATCTCCAATAACACAAATGAAACACAATTGTAACTAATAACTAAGTTAATCAATTGTTTCGACAAATTAATCACCAATAACACAAATGAAACACAATTGTAACTAATAACTAAGTTAATCAATTGTTTCGACAAATTAATCACCAATAACACAAATGAAACACAATTGTAACTAATAACTAAGTTAATCAATTGTTTCGACAAATTAATCACCAATAACACAAATGAAACACAATTGTAACTAATAACTAAGTTAATCAATTGTTTCGACAAATTAATCACCAATAACACAAATGAAACACAATTGTAACTAATAAGTTAATCAATTGTTTCGACAAATTAATCACCAATAACACAAATGAAACACAATTGTAACTAATAACTAAGTTAGTCAATTGTTTCGACAAATTAATCTCCAATAACACAAATGAAACACAATTGTAACTAATAACTAAGTTAATCAATTGTTTCGACAAATTAATCACCAATAACACAAATGAAACACAATTGTAACTAATAACTAAGTTAATCAATTGTTTCGACAAATTAATCACTATTATATTTGGAACACATTAGTAAAATTGGTGATTGTTCATCTATTGTTGCATTTCAGACTTATCTTAATATAACTTGTTCATATCATCAATAGCGTATTCATTGATGTGTGATAACTTGAAACTGAACTTGAACTTATTTTCTTTCTTAATACTTATCGTACAATGTTGTGGATTTTCTTTGCTAATAAAATGATCGATTAGTGTGCAATCAATCATCGATTTTCATTCATTGGGATAGTTCAAATATCAATTATCTAATAATCGAATTTAAATAAAAATCGATTTTCAAACAAAGAGACGATTTTTTTTTGTCGTTCCATAAGATATTTGCATTTTTCACAATAATTCACCGATTCTTTATATGGTAAAACGAAAGTTATTGTTATCACTTACAGTAGTGGCCAATTTTCCAAATGAATTATCGGCTAATGTTATTTTTGATGATCACCAATCGCCAATTTCCTCCTTCCTTTTGTTGGTTATATTTATTTTATTTTTCTTTTTACAATGTATATTCAAGATTATTTCAGAGAGAAATTACAAATGATAGAAAGATAAAGCTGAGTAGAAGGAGAATAGCTCGAGAAATAAAATGGGATAAATAGGGTTAAATAGGGTTAAAGGGTGTGAGGACACAGCAAAATTACGGTCAAGTAATTAATGGATAGTAATTTTCACTTATTTTAAGATGAACTCAAATGAACTTAGCACTACTGGGTCATTCCCATAAAGTTGATTATTAAATTCACAATAATCATTGACTAATCATTGATTTTATATGATGTTATATGATTAACAAAAATCACGTCCTGTGGTCACCATAATTGTTTCAACAAAACACCTTAACTAATTTTCATTTAAATGGTTTAATAAAAACTCTTAGAAATGACACGAAATTA